ATGCACAACACTTTAAATATAGTAAACTTATTTTAATAACCAGTAAATTTTTATTCCTACCTACTTTGAACTTACAGATAACTTTCCACTCCACAATCATAAAAATAATAACCTTTGTTTTCATGATGAATGATGGGGTTTTCTACTCCTAGAAATCGCATCAGAGAAAAGCTGTGAATATGGATGAAGCAGACCGGGGTCCATCCCAAATGTGGAGCGAAACGTGGCAGTATTGCTGGCTTTAGAGGCATGAAAGAATCAAGAGTGAAGGTGTTATTAGTTCTTCCTCCACCATCTCAGCGATCCTCTGAGGTCAGGCAGCATGCAACAGGGGTACCCCTGCATAAAGAAGGTCCTGACAGGCCATTTTGTGAAGCTGTGAAGGTGAAGCCTGGTTTTCAGTGGAAAGCCCAAGAAGATATTGGAGATGCTAGAGCTGTGACACATCAGCCAAGGATTGCTGACTTCAGGGAGTGGTACCAGCCAAAGAAAAAGTGTATATTACACACAGCAAACCTGAAGTGGCTGAGCCAGCTAAGCCCTTAGGAAGTAAAGTCCCAAAAGTCGGATGTGAAGCCATGGATTGGTGTTTACCATACTGGATTTTGTTCTTGTTTCGGTCTCGTATTTCCTCAGAATGCCCCCATTCCTCCATTTTTGGAATCGGACTGTGTGTTCTCTTCCATTATATGTTGAAAATATGTGATTTGTCTTGATTTTGCTGGGGCTTATGATTGAGAGATTGCCTTGAGTCTCAGAGGAGACTTTGGACTCTGTACTTCGAGTAGTATTGAGAATATAAAGACTATGGGGACGTTTGAAGGTGAACTAAGCACATTTTGCATTTCATATGGTCATGAGCCTATGGGAAGCAGAGAGTTAAAAGTGATAGTTTGAATGAGACTATCCCCCATAGGTTCCAAATATTAGGAAACTTTATCCCCAGTTATTGGCACTGTTTGGAGAGGTTTTAGAAGGTGTTGCCTTGCTGGAGGATGCATGTCAGTGGGGGTGGGTTTGAGGATTCTTAAGCCTTGCCATAGTTCCAGTCACTCACTGCTTCCTGTTCCTGCTCGGGCCAACTCCTGCCACCATGCCTCTCTGCAATGACATCTTCTAATCTCTCTTAATCATGTGCTCAAGTAAATTCTTCCTTCTATAACGTCCCTTGGTCACAGGGTTTTATCCCAGGGACAGAAAAGTAACATGCCATGAACATATATGGATTTAGAAACACCAGAAGTCTTTTTTTTCCTGTTTGAGACAGGGTCTCCCTGTAGTCCCAGCTGTCCTGGAACTCAGTACGTAGACCAGGCTGGCCTTGAACTCACCAAGATCCGCCTGCCTCTGCCTCCCAAGTGCTGGGATTAAAGGCGTGTGCCACCATGCCTGGCCATTACTACTTTAAAAAAAAAAAAGAATACATGTATTCCATGCAATATGGGACATGCCTAAACTAAAATGCCATTAGTGCAGGAAGGCAGGCCTCCTGGAGAGCTGAGATCCTGTCAGGGGCCTGGAGAATGGTGCAGGTCCTAGAAACTCTGGGTAAGTCAGGAGCGCATACTTTCACAACCCCCTGTAACTCCAGTTCCAGAGGCTCTGATGCCCTCTTCTGACCTCTGCTGGTACCTGCATGCTTGGTGCATATAAGCACACAAGCACATGTGCATAATAAATAAACTAGTTTTTCAAACAAGAGTATAAACTTTCATCTTGAGACTGACCCCTGAGAGCAAAGGACCTCCAAGGTGACAGATGGAAAACGAAACACATTGTCTTTAATATCCTTTCAAAGAGAACTCCAAGCCAAGACAGCGTCATGCCAATTTAACCACCTTCAATTGAGGAGGAGATAGTGCCAATGTGATACAGAACATCCAGAGAAAGATCAACCAAAGATCAACCGAGCCCTCACCAGCTCCTGAGGCCAATCCCTCCTGCCCCCTCACAGCTTCTGAAGGACATTAAGAGGGAAGAAATTGCAGGTCAGTCCCATTCACAGACATCAGAGACCTGTTGAGTAAGCTGAATTCATCAAGATATAAAAAAATAACAGGGCCAGGCATGGTGGTGTATGCCTTTAATCCCAGCACTCGGGAGGCAGAGGCAGGCAGATCTCTGTGAGATCGAGGGCAGCTGGTACTACCTGGCAAGTCCCAGGCAAGCTGGGGCTACAGGGAGACCCTATTTAAAAAAACAAAACAAAACAAATAACATCATGGAGGC